TTGTCAAAAGTTCAAAATTTATTGTGATTTTCACAGTCACAGGGAAAAGTGGTTTTAGCATTCTGCAGAAGTTAGCAGTGAGATAATAGAGGCATGGTTTTCTCTAGATTAACGCTTCATTTGGATGCAGCTGCAATACAAGCCAAGATTATTTGCTGGCTGCATGGTGTGAGATGTTCCTAAAAGTCAAAACTAATTTGTTTAAATTGCTTAAAGCTTAGGAGTTAATTATACAAGTTTAAATCTAACAAACATTAAATAAGAATTTGATCAAAGCTTTTACATGGTTGTTCATAAGATGTTTTTTGGCCTAAGAATGGTTCTCTTATTGAACATTTCCTCTTTTTTAAATTAAAAACTAAAAAGAAGCTATTAAAGAATCACTCAAGAAATTAAGGGAGAAGCAGGAATCAAAGAAGAAGGAAAATGAAGAAGACAAAAAGAAAACCAGGAAAGGAAAAGATGCTACTGATCGAAAGGACAAGAAAGCTGTTGATACGAATAAATTAAAGAAAGATTCTGACAAGGCTAAAAAAGACAGAGGAAAGGAAAAAGGCACAGACAAAAGTATAAAGTCCAAGGAGACTGCAAAAAAGTCAGCCAGTGAAAAGGATGGCACTGTTCAGGTGGGAAAAGACAAAGAAACAAAAAAGCTGGTTAAAAGCCAATCCAAGGAAGACAAGAAAGAAAAGAAATAAACAAGAGTTCCTGTTCTGCTAATGAGGAACAGATCTCAAAAATGTAAAATTAAGCATTTTTATATGAATGTGGTAAATATGGCAATAAGAAAATAACATTTGGTGGAAATAAGTATGAACAAAAGCTATATATAATATTTTTTTAAAAACTGTTCGGTGTTTACTGGTATTATAAACGTAAAGCAGAAGCATCGTGGTGAAACTTAAATATGTACATATGTTAATATGCCTGGCTACCAATGTGTATTGGAAACATTCAAATGTCAAATTGATGCCAGTTACTTCAAGTCTACTCTAAATATGGGTTTGGATTTTTGTGATTGGTTTTTCTTCCTTCCTTCTTTACTTGTGTTTGCTTAATATGGAGATGAAACTCTAATTTTCTATATGAAATGCAAGTTTAAAAGCAAAACTAACAGGCTTATCTGGACACATGTAGTGGAAACTCATAAAATAGAAATATCTCACAGAAACAACCAAGAGGAGCATTAATGGACTGTAGTGTCATAGGAACTAAACAAATAAGCGTAACTTATTCTCTGCCAAAATTTTTCTCTAAGTAAACTTTTTTTCCTGAGAAAACTATTTTGTATACAAATAGTCAAAGCAACTTGAGTGTTGCACTTTATCATGAGACACCAGGGTATACTCAATGAAAATGGTCCTGCAATTTTGTCTTTTGATCTCATGACAATATGTTTCTGGTTTTCTTCCATTCCCTATTTATTTAATTATTTTATTTCTCTATATTTGTATTGGAAAGCTTGATTCATTATCACTATTTTTAACCGTGCCCTGATTTTTTTCCAACCTTTTGGTAATGAATACTGCTGAAAATAAGGCCACCTATTTCATCATTGACAAGTATTGTATTGCAATTGCATTTAAGATGTGATATGCTAGTACTACTCTATTCTGGTTGAACTTGTTTAGAGAACAGCTTATATATTTTTGCAGCTATTATCTTCAACACTTTCAAGTGCTTAATGTTTCTATAAGCAAAATCTTGTGTTAGCTTATTTTTACAGCTTCTGTATTTTTAGCATAAAGGAAGGATTTATCCAGCAGTCTCATTAGAATAAGCAAAGTTGCAAAACATTTCTGCAGAGATAATAGAGAGATTTGAGAATATTATTGAATCTATGGTTGCTTTCAAGTTTATTTAGAAATGAATACTTTCCAAGTAAATTTGAAAGCAAGTATATTGCATGGAATTGCACAATATAATTACGCAAGATTCAGAAAAAAAATTGATGGAAGTTTAAGATTGATTCTTGATAAAGTGCAGCATTAGTTTCAAGAAAGCAATACTAAGGAGTGAAATTCAGAATGAGTGTATATATGCATGTGGATGGTAATTTAAGACTGAAATCCTGAAGGTTATTTCTGCTTGTGGTTTTGCTAAAATTTTGTGTATAACAGTTGACAATACACTTACCTCAGCTGTTCCATACATATGTCTGCATCATGCTTTGATCCCTAGAGTTATGTGATAATAAGGTTAAAGATGATTTGTCTTTTTTTCTAGAGAAAGTTAAATATTCAAATCGTTATGAAAAATATTTCAAATTAAAGCTGTAGAAAACAGTACAGTATCCTAAGATTCTGGTTGTGATCATTACCAGAGATGATCTATTCTGAGGTATTTTCTAAATATTTATAAATTCATGAAGAGGAAGAGACATGCATTGTGAGTGTTACAGTGCCTAGCAAAAAATATGAAAGAATGACGATCTAATAAATGCACTTCCATAATGAATATTCTGTGTTAGGTTTTGGTGGTGATAGATATATTTATTCAACTTTGCTTTGGTAAGTGCTAAAATGCATATTTTACCAGAGAAGCATTCAAATCACACCTCTCAAAGATGGTGGCACAATGGTATAGTGCACATCACTTTTTATTTTCTGCCGTAATGTGACAGAACTTGTAACTGTGTGGGAGTGAAATTTGAAATGAGTTGTATCTATGACCCAAAGTTTATGGGGTTCTGGAAAGGTTGGGTTGTTTTATTTTTTTCCTTTCCAAAGAAAATTCTATTTGAGCAGCACTCCAGGCTATGCAGAAAGCCACAAAATAAAGTATTTTTGTCCCAGAGATCTGTTGTGTTGTTGTATCTCTGTGAAATATTATTGTCATTAAACTTAATGCAACAAGTTACCACATAAGCTCAAAAACTGTGCCTGACTAGTAAAAGCTAAATGTGATTTTAATAAAGAGAATAGAGAAAATAGTATCTTACAAGAAGTAAATGATTTAGTATATTACATACTTGACAAGATTGAATAGAAATCAGTGTTAAACATGATAGATGTGTATAAAAAGCTTGAAGGTGAGGTAGAGAAATGTGCAAGTGAAGCAAAGACGCATTCTTGTTGGTTCCTTCTTTCCTGTTAAATACCCATAGCATTCGTTGGGTGTGGAATATTGGCTGTCTTTTGAAATGCTTTGAATTCATTTATTGTTCATGACACAGAGTATGTGGTTGTCTGGAAGTGAACATGTGGGTTATTGAGGACTCTAAGACTTATTTAAAGCAGTGTTGTGTAAAGGAACTGAACTGTTTGTGAAAGCAAGGTGGCTGATGGATTCTGAAGTGTGAGAGTGGTTAATGTGACTTACTGGCTTTGTCTCCATCCTAACATGATTGTAGAAGGAAGTAATTTCTTACTCTTGTAGTCATTAATATTCCTACAGGAAAAAATTAATTTCTTAATAATATCTTTTGATATTCTAGATGGGTAGTTTTTTAATGACAGAAGAAAACTGGCCAAAAACTATGTGTAAATTTGGCATTTTTCTTCTAGCTTCTTGTTTTGACTCCAAAGTGGTGGGCTCTTAGTAATACTACTTTTGGATACAGCCTAACTACCTATGTTCAAATAATTTAAATTTAAATAATATAAAAAAATAGATTTAATTCTGTTATTCTGTAACCATTACTTGAAATAAATACATGTTTTTCTCACAATACATAAAATATCTCTCTAGTCTACACAAATTTGGTTTGAGACAAACTAGTCCAATTTGCATTGAGATATGTTTGACTCTAATAGAAATGTAGTAATTATTTTTTTTTAGTTGTACTTACTTGAAATATAATATTTATCTACTTAAGAATTGCTTTTACAAGATTGCTAGTACTACAGGAGTGTTCATTTTAGTTATGCTTTCTTACATACTATCTTTTCTATTGATTTCCATGTATACAGCTGTTGAAGAACTAGTTTGCTTTGGGCAGTGGCTTGTGTTGTGAAGAGAGTCTTACCTTAATTGACCTTGGATGTAGGATTATAGGCAAATGCCATTTGGAAGGGACTTTGGGAGATCCTTATTTCAACATCCTACTCAAAACAGGGTCGTTTCAGAGGAATGACCAGGTTGCTCTGGCCATTTTTCAGTGTGGTCTTTCAAACCTCCTAGGATGGGAATGCTTAGCTGCTCTGTGCAGTCTTTTCCACCAATTTCACTGCCCTCGTAGGGGTGGAGGGTTGTGGGTTTTGTGTGAGTTTTTCTTATATCCAGTCTGAATCTTTTGTATAAGTCTTGCTTGAACTCTCCTAAAGGAGAGTTGAGAGGAAAATTAGCCTAATACCAACATATTCTTGAGCATACTGTGCCTTAAGATATGACATGATCTGTCACAGTTGAATGTATATCCCCTACCATGATGATGGTAATTACATTTATTGATTGCGTTCTTTTCATTGTGTTTTGATCTAGGATACTGTGATATAGATAGTCAGGATCTTAGTAGTAAAATTTCATCACTCATGCTTTTTATATAGTCATTTAGTTGTCAAAACAGACTAATCTTAATCAGGTCTTCTAAGATGTAACACATGAATTTAAAATAACTCTTCTTATTCTGTGTACCTTTTCATAAAGTTCAAATGAGTTCTTCATAGAACCCATATAATTGATCATGTGAAACCCTTTTTACCCAAATTGAAAACAGAGAGAAAAAATTGCTGCCTATTTTTTTACTGGATGCTGAATAGATGTTGAGAATACCATAGTCATTTGTTCAGTTACTTTGAAATAAAGGCAAGTGCTTAAATTTCTGTCCCTTTTTACCTCCTCATTGTATGTTTGTCTTCCAAACATCTTTGTTTACTACCTAAGTACACTTTAGTTTGTATATATATCACTGTATATTATGACAGCCCTGTAATTGTGAATGTTCAAATGCATTTTTGGAGAGTGTAACATCAGTTAATTTAATTAAAAGAACTTTCTTGTTTTATAAGTGAATCAGTTCAAAAAGGGCATAAAGTTAACTTTATAACTGAAAAATGCAGGCCTTAAAGAAAGATCTGTCCCAGCACAGCCAACATCACCAGAATCTGAGGAGTCTGTCCAGCCTGCTGAAAATGTCGAGTCAGGTAAGACCTTTTGTGAATTATAGGTGAAACACAAGACATGATGCTTCATTTGAATTATAATTCAGTGTCATTAGCATGCAAACTCACTCATAGATTTTGTGTTGCTTATCTACTGAAGTTTATTAAGCAGGGATCACGGTTTATAACTTTATATAACTTCACTGACCATGAAAAGTGAAAAATTTCATGGTTACCATTGTAGCTCTATCACATCAGAATAACTTTCTGATGATGTATTGTTGTGGTTTAGATTAATTTCCAACTGTATATCCAACCAGAATAACAGCAGATTCTTCACCTTAGAAAATGAACAAAACCCTCTCAACAGCCAATTTAATAAGATAATAAAGTACTCACTTTTTCACTAAAACTACTAGTATATAATAAATACAATAAATACTGTTGTAAATCCTACTGTTAAAAAATAATGTAAACATTTTTAAAGTCCTATACTTTTAGTTAGGATGTATTAGAATTAAGAGGGATTCAAGAAAAAATGTTTTATGTGTCACATTTCACATATGTGATTTGCATTAGTGTTATTCAGAGAGTTTTTTTTCTTGTTTATTGAAGAGGCTTATCCTATGTGATGTTTATGTGAACCTAATACATAAACATACAAATACAGAGCATATGGCCAGTGGAATCTATGGAATATGGATTTTGTTTTAAAAGACTTGCACTACTTTTCTTAGATATCATTCATAAAATATATCAATATATTTCCTGGTTGGGTGGGTTTTGTATGTGTGTGGTTTTTGTGGGACCATTTTTCATAACTGGTACCATTTTGAATCCATATTTGAAAATGCAGCTGTTATCTGGTTTACAGGGGTTTTTTTGTCAGATGTGTCATTGTAGGGTTTCCTCAATGTTAATTTAAGGACATTTATATGAAGATAATACTTCATACAAATTCCTATTGTGTCCTGGGCTGGTGTGTTAGATGGCAATCACTTGTTCATTAAACCCGTTTGTGATTTCTCCTGGCAATTTGTAGTGGAGCAAGACCTTGATATTGTAATGTTAATATCTATTTTTCCTTGTTTATGAAGTCGACAGAACCCTACTTCTGCAGGTCATATTTTGTTGTCAAATATGACTTGCTAGTGCTGCAGCTTAAATTGTAGGAAAATAATGGATGAAAGTGTTAGTAAATTAATTCCTTAGAAGGGAGTTCATGGTTTGAATAGTTACCTGAAGCTGTTACTACCCCTAGAAAAAATATATATGCAAAAACGAGGTGTGGATAAATTCATCTTCAGATGGACAAATCTGATGTGATTGTTGCAATACTTTCTATATTAGAGAGTAAGCAAGACAAAATTGTTTTTCTAATTGCATGAATTGCAGAGGTTCACCAGGTCAGTCTCTAGGGAACTTTGTGAAAGGGATTAAGAACATTATGGAGCCTACTAAAAGCTGCAAGCCTTGAGTTAATCTTTAGATTTTGCCTTTTTCACTTACCTTCACTGCAATTTATAATCCTTTTAGTGCACAAGATGGCTGACATAGAAGTGGAAGAGGAAATTCAATCTGTTCTTCATGAAGCTCTCCATTCCCAACCTGGTAATGCATTAACATTTAAAAATCACTGAAGAGTTTATAAATACTGCCATAGGTTAAATGAATCTCAGAGTCTGATTTTGGTATGCATTTAAAGTACTTTTGCCTGCACAAAACGTTCATCAGCTCATTTGTCATTTTCAAGAAAATTCAGGAAGTTTGGTCACCAAATCATAAAACTGTGTCTTCTTATCCAGACTTGTTTGGCAGTAATAGCTCAAATCAGTCCTTTAACTAAAGCTTCCTCAGAACACTGTGTAGAAGGCAAGAGTGGACAGAGCAGAGTTGGCCTTTACTGTGAGCAAAGAAGGTCCTGGCGAGTTGGGTCTGTAATAATGGACTGTGCAGATAAGTTTTCTGTCACTCCCCATTCCCTTTGGAGACTAGCTGGAAAACACAAAGGGGCTGTACTGAGGGCTGAATATTTGCAGGTAATAGAATATACCAAAGAAAATTTATTCACTAACAATCTGCATTATTGATTAGGAGAGAGACATGAAGATGTAGATGAAAATGTAAATGACCAGTGGCAAGTAAAGGAAGAAATACATGATGAAACTTTAGAAGTTCCTGCAACAGATGACATGCTCAGAGAACTTGAGAATGAAATTCCAGAAGCATATGAGACACCAGACTCAGTTCAGAAAGGTATCTGAATAACTAAATACAGTTAAAAATAAATTTACAAAAGAAAACCTAACCCAGATAAATGAAAATATGTCTCATTAAAACCTGGCCTTGTGATTACTACTTAAAATATAGCCTTAGCAAGTGTGAACAACAGCTTTATTTAGCAAATAAAGATATTTTAAGTCAAAATGGTCTATTTTAATGCTATCTGTTTTGAAACTCAGGTAACCATATATTATTAATTATTACTCTACTGGCTTAACAAAATTAATCTGTGCTCCAAATATGTATGTCTCTCCCCAGTAGAGGCATGAATATAATCATACAGAGCGGTTTTGGTTGAAAGGGGCTTTAAGGATCACCTAGTTCTAGCCCTTCTGCCATGAAGGACCAAATTATTCAAACTCCCATCTAACCTGGCCTTGAACACACCTGGCATTCACAGCTTCTCTGGGCAACATGATCCAGTGCTTCATCACCCTCCTAGTGAAGAATTTTTACTTTATATCCAATCTAAACCTGCCCCCTTTTGGCTTAAAGCCAAAACCCATTTCTTATCACTACATGCCCTTGTAAAAAGTCCCTTTTCAGCTTCTTTTTTCCCTTAAGGTACGGAAAGGCTGCAATTAGGTCACCCTAGAGCGTTTTTTTCTCCAGGCTGAACCCCAGTTCTCAGCCTTTTCTCACACCTCTGGAGAGCTGTTCCATGTCCAGTCTTTCATCTACCAGCACCCCCAAGTGCTTCTTGGTGTGGCTGCTCTCAATCTGTTCATTCCCCATCAGTAAAACCTGTATGGAGTATGCTTCTGAACCTTTTGGTTTATTAAACTTAATTTTAAAGTTCATTAACACAGTTTTTTCTATACTTTATTCTCATTCTTCTTTCATTCAAATATAGCTCCCTAAGAGCATTAACTATATTTAAGTTCTGCAGAGATACAGACATCATATAAAGAAGATGCTCATATCTTGTCACCTTGGGTCATTGGATGATGAAAATTGTAGTCAAAATATTAAAGCACAGGCATATGATCTAAATCCAGCTAGGGAGAAATTTTTCTGGATGTTTTTTATTTGTACTGCTGAAAATTTTACTTTTAATACCTCTTGATACCTTTTGATTAGATGCACGTTATTGATGTCATCTAAAAGTTTTGGTTGCTGGAAGTGCACTGAGATTCCTTCTTCACAACCAAAGTAACTCTTCAGTCTGGCTCTATTATACCTTCTCATCTCTGTGTCTTACTCATCCAAAGCACAAGTCAAAGTAGGAGACTAGAAGAGAAATTCAAATTCCATTTACTTTAAATTTTTGCAATTAAGAAGGCAAAATGAATACATTCTTGTTTCCTCCAATTTATTCAGAAATTTCTGTGGAGAGCTCTTTCTTTGTGGAAATGTGTGTAGAGTTTGTTCATATATACACATTGTCAATATTATATATAAATAAAATAGTAACTTTTTTTTCAGTCTATATATACATATCCTGCTACCATTAGGAGAAACTTGCTTAGAATTTCAACTTAGAAATATTACTGTTCTTACATAATATCTGTTAGAGGGTTTGTGGTATTGTTTGTTGATTTAAAAATGTTAAAGTTTATGCAAATGTATTTGTTTCTCAGATGCTGATTCTATGGTGGATGATGTTGGAGCAGTGGAGTCTGAATCATATGAAATTCCAGGTATCTTTTTGTTTTTCCATACTCAGTAATAATGGTTTTCTGCCTTAATATAATAAATTATATTAAAAAGAAAAATGGAAAATGTTAGTCTGGTTTAGAAATATATAATTTTGAATTTGTGTTTTCTTTTCTCTCAATAACTAGTTGTTATTGTCTTGGAGAATTTTACTTTGGGATGACTGTATCATACGTGCTATTGAAATTCTTTATTACAAATAATAGGTGACAGGTATGGACAATTTTCTTTTGTTGGTGCAAAAACTTTTTATTTACTATGTGTTTCTGGCTGTTGTGTATGATTGGGGACTGGGTAGGCAAGTGATCTGTGTACAGTCTAAAAAAGTGAGAATGAGATTTATTGCTTACATTGTCTTCATACAGTCTATAATACTAAGGTTCTTCTAGACTATATTTTTCTTGGCTTAGGAACATCCGGTTTTTTGTACCTTTCCTTCAGGACTGTTTGTTTCTTCGTGGCTGGCTCTGCTACCAGAGAGTGAGTCAACACCAAGGATGTAATTCTGAACTATCCTTATTCTGTCTTTCTGCATATCTTAGTTCATCTTGAAATCTTTTTGAAATTTGGCTTATGTTAGGCTTGATATCGTGTACAATGGCATTAGTTCATCTTTCCCATTATGAAGAAGCATTAAGTGGATCTTGCAGGTTCCCTACTGTCTGATAAGTATTTTCTTCAGGATTTTAACAACATTTCTTTACAGTATGGACAGTCTCTTGCATTTACCTTAGACTTCTGTTTGTACTAGGCTTCTTATGTTTGACTCAGTGTTAGCTCTAGACTTAGCAGTTGTATTTGGTATCACAGATGTGACAGAAAAATGGTTTTATTTGTTTGATACAGCTATAACTGTTTATTCTCAACTGTGTGTGGGATTACTGGTTTAGAATCCAATCTAGTACAATTCCAAAGTGAAAGGATAAATTCTCTTCGGTACAGCATTTTCTCAGATGTGTCATAGTGAGTATATTGACAACATTGAAAAGAATTGTAGTTAGAGAGGAAAATAATCCCTAAATTTAGCTAGGTAATGAAAGGAAGCAAATTGCTCTAAATCTGACATGCCAGAAGTAAAGTACATCACCAAGTGAGCCTCCTGCACATTAGTAGCAATTTTGAAGATAGATGATGTTTGCATTTTTTATTCATATTAAAACAAATATTTGAAAATATTGATGGAGATTAATGGCTCTCGTTGGTCTAGTTTTCCTACAGAGTATAGCAGAAGAGGGAGTGGCCTAACACCTTCCATTAGATTGCCATGTGTCAAATTGCAAGTGTCAGTTGATAAAGTTTTTGTTTTTCAGTTTTCAGCTAAGGAGATGCATTTAGCCATTGACAGACTCATCATGGATACAAGTTAAATAAACATATTTAATATTTTTATTTCAAGATATTTATTTGTTCATGCTTAATTTACAGCCTTAGATGATTATGTTCCAGATTTGGAAGAGAGAATAAGTGATCCAGACACTCCAGGTTTGTAAATTGTCATTACTCCAAATGATAATATAATCACACTTTTTGAAATATGCTACAAAATGATGTGTCATATTGACTGTTTCTTCACAGTTTTATTTTCAAACAGTTTTTAGGTAGTTTCAAGTAGGCCCAACTTTTAGGCCACTATGTTACCATTACATTTGTGACCATAACATTCCATGAATGCAATCTAAAAATACTTAACATAAATATTTTGTTCTATCAGGAGTTTTCCAGTCTAATCAATGGATTGATTATTCAACACCTATTTATCTTCTTAACTTTAAGCCTAGCTACAAATATGTGTAAATTTATTGTACTCTGTGTGTTACGGTGTAGTTCCTGGATGTGGTTTATAATTCAGTTGTCACTTTCAAATACAGTATTGTAGTTTTAAGTCAGTATAATTCTTTCACTTTTGAGCTAAATATGTGACCTTTTTAAGCTCTCTTATGTTATTTAGCTGTTGCATGAAAATTCAATTGGAATAAAAAATATTAAATATTTCTATTTAAGGTGACTCTGAGGTAATGCCAGAAGATGCTGTGGAACATTACGCAGGTACAAGCCAAAGTCTTCTTTCTTTTTGTTGAAGATTCATTGAATTTTAGCACCAACCAAGACAAGTCAAATACACAAAAAAACACCCCCAAACAAATAAAACAAACCACAACAACACAACACCCAAGACTTTAGAGCTTCTAGGTAGTATTTTTTCAGAATGTAAATTGAAAATGTAGACATAATAACTTCCTAAGGAAATGATGCTAAAACCTACATGAGTACTAGTTCTCTGTAATGTCAGCCAAATGGGCAGAATAATATTTTGAGGGTTGAATTTCTAGAATGGATATTGGTATTTTAAATCGTATAGAAGTGTTTCTGTGGATAAAAAAGAACTTAAATACGCTAGAGATGTTGCAGTTAATGTGATATCAAGAAGAAAGTAGTATTTCTAAGTTTTTTAAGAAGGAAGTAAGCTATAACAAGTAGATGCTAAAATTACAATGTAGAAGTTAGCTGTATATAGAGATGATTTATAAATAGCTCAGAATCAAAATATTTATAAATATTTATGCACTGCATAAGAAGCCTGCTGATACTGCTTTCTTTTTTAAGTCTATCTTTTGATGCCAGAAGATCAGTCAGTTCTTCTCACAGGATCTTTTAGAAATCTTCACTTTTGCACTCTTATTAATTTTATTACAGTATGAATTACTATAGTTTCACTTTTTTTTTTTAATCTGAATAAACTTGACACTGTATTGTATTATTTGTTTGTCTTTATTGTCTTAAAATTCCACTAATTTTCATGGTCATTTTCTTTTTCTTTAAACAGAGGATAGAGTGCATGAAGATTATAGTGAAGACCAAGGTATGACAACTGCTATATTTAGTGAAATTACAGTATCAAAATCTTTTGTTAATATGCAAGTGGAATTACTTTGTTTTAAAATTTCCTATGCTGCCATATTACTTTGCAAGTTCTCAGCTAAGGTTTTGGCTTGTTGTCTATTCAAACTCCCTGTGTTTGTAATCAGCCAATCAATCAATCTTTTAACACTGATCCCTGTGTAGACTATGCGTACTCATTATATTCCCACACTGATCCTCTTTGCATACTTTGTGCATATGTGTTATAGGAACATTGAAAGCTTTGCCAGGCCTTTTTCCATGTGAAACCCTGACCAGGTCAGATGTAGTTTATTGCATCTGTTTAGCTCAGTATCACCTTTTCATATTGTCAGCTGCTACCAGTTATTTGGGAATTGCCCTGTTTCAGTTTGATTTGGTTGATGATTTGCTAATGATTGCTAAGACCAAATCAAAAAGTAAACGAGAAGAATGGTAGTCTTGAAACAAAGGTGTGTTGTCATTCCTGCTGTGATATCCTTCTGGAGACTACCACACTTCAGAATGGTTAAACATATCTTTAAGGCACTCTTGTTTATTTCTCATGTTTATGTAACCTGAGCAAAGGACAGGGTTCTTAACCCTGTTAAGTTTAAGAAAATGGTTGCAAAATATTTGCAACAGAAAACCTTGAGGTTCATTATTTGTTTTTGGCAGGTAAATTTCAACATCCTTCTTTGGGATAGAAGTCAAAATTCCTTTGAAAGACTCTCAGTGGCCCAAAGGTGTACTTAGTCCTTAGCCTGTGTCTTTCTCAGTTTGCAGAAAATATTTATTTGCCTCAGTTGTGGTGCCCTCAACAAAATGTCTCAGCAGTAATAGGATAGAAAAGCAAGAGACTAGTTTTTTTCACAGGGCTTATTTTTTACTTGCCTTTCAAGGAGATAATTATTTTATGATCAGTTCCTAATCAAGAATCACTTCTCTTGCTTCTCACACCTTGATGTGAAGAAGTGCAACTTCTAATCTTTACTTTTCATACTCTTTCATATGTAGTGGTAGCATGAACAAAAAATGCTTCTATGCTGTTGTGAAGAGACATCTACATCTGCTTTTTTACTAAGTTGATTAGGGAGGTTACAAAGTAAATTGCATCAGCTTTTTTTTAAATCGGTTCCAAAAGCATTTCATATTCTGCAGTCTCTTCTGGCACCTCAGCACAATAACAGTGAATCACTGTATTCTGTGACTCATTCACTTACTTCAGGAAGCAGTGGTTTCGTGTGCAGTTGCCTTTCTGTACTGCAATGAGAGTTTTAAATAATATCAGATAAATCACCATACTCTTTCTTTATTCTTACCAGTCCCATGATTAGTATGATAAGGAGAATAGGAAGTTCAATTATTTTTCTCAAAAGGAAATTCTAAGGTAGCATGTGACTGTCAAAAAAAATATTATTCTTGTCTATTAAATTGCAAGGCTTCTTTATGTAGTAAATTATTCCCACAGTTCAACATAATCCATGGAAAACTGCTTTCCTCTTGACTTTTCACAACATAATTTTACCTTTCTTTCAAGTTCCACCTTGAAGGCATTCTGGTTGTGAGAGAAAGCACAGTGCATCCTTTGTATTTTTTAGAGGAACTTCGTTTCAGAGCTCCAGCTTGGAGGAGTGTAGAGGAAGAAGACCAGAGGCTGCCTTTCTGTCACAGACCGTTTTTATCTTCTCAGTTCAGTCTGAGTTCAGTCCATGGAGTTTCAGGGCATGTTCATGGGCTAAACACCATTTTAGCAGTTGTACCTGTTTTTCATCCTTTTTGTCTCTAGGCCCATCTTTCTTGTGCCTTTTGACATGATTTTGGTTGGATTGAAGCTGAAACAGATGTACTTTGTTTTTGAAGATGCGCAATTTTGGCTTTGTTTTTCTAGAGTCTAAAAAATGGTTGGAAATCATTTCTCATGAATGTAAAGCCTGTGGTTTTGACATGGGCTCCAAAACTACAAGAATATTCACATTAAAGCCTTCATATGCAATTGTCTGTGAAATCAACAGAAGTATAGGGTTTGAGTTAATTCATCTTACCCATTTCTATCATGTGTTTCTGCTCTTCTGGCAAGACCTTCTGGTGAAATCTTTTCTCCAATCCTGGTGCTTTCTAGAGTTCTGAAATCTAAAGACAGTTCAAGATGATTGCTGGCCAGAGCAAGTCCAATTTCTTTTGTGACTCTTGCTTTGTGAGGCTTGGCTCTTAATTAAGATTAGGAACTGCTCTAATAGGATTGCTGTAATCACATCACTGAGGTTATTGCTAGTGCTAAAAATTCTTCAGTGGAAGTAAGTGCCCACAGTAAAGTGTGTAAATGATTGATTACAGAACTTGGAATACAGGAACTCAGTTATTTTACATAACTTCCAGTTTTATGAAGGGTTTCCTACAGTTTGTAGCCATGAAAGGAGAGAAAGAAAGCCAGTTTGAGATTTTCATTAGAAATAAAGAGTTCTGGATGTTTTTTTAAGGATATTCTATAAGAATTCTTCTTCGTAGGAGTGTGGGGAGAGCCACACAACCATTAGTATATAAGATAGAACAATATCTTAAATAATGCAACAATAATATCAAGGTGGTTGTTTTTGATTTTGTTTTTTAATGTTACGTAAATAATCTTTTTCAGATGAGGCTTAGTACCTGTTAGATAATGAAATTATCCAAAACACTGAATGAACTTTGAACTTTTTTAGTCTGAAGTTCACAGTAAGTGCATATTGAAAATTCAGACAATGGATAGCATTTTGTCTATTTTCGGACATTATCTAAAATGAAATAATTAATATTCTTGACCTATTTCTTTCAAATTGCAAAAATTTGACTGACTGTGCAAAGATTAAGAAAGTAGGAGAATTATAACAACTGTACAGGAGGAAAGACTTGTTGTCATTGTTTTCAACACTTCATCTGTGTGGCAGAAAGTCTTGAAATTTCAGCAATATATACACATATGGTTTGTTGTTTTTTTTTAGTATAGAATTTCTACTATAAGTTCCAGAAAGGATTCATATATATATATATATATATATATGTAGATAGATAGATAGATATATTCAGGCTCCCAAACTAGGGGAAGTTATTTTTAGAGGCCTTTGCTTTTGTCATTAAAGAAATTAACTTTATGCTTAACCAAATCTTTAGAATACTTTGTGTATATCAACCACCCAGGAACCTTATTTTTCTTTCCTTTCAGAACCAAAACATGAAAAGCAGACTGAGGCTCAATATACAGGTATATACCTCTATATATATATACATAAAAAATATTTTAGGCAAATTAGTTTAAAGATAATAAGCTTAATCTTGCTGTTTATATATAGTGAAGTACATAATCTGTGACCTTCAGTCATTGCTGACTGACATTGCCAGTTATGGCAAAGGTTCATTACAGTCTGTATTGTTATGAAGTTAGATTTTTAACTGAGAAACTTTGTTGTAGTATGCCACCCTTGAGGATTCATCTTTAAGGTCTCAGGTGACACAGTGGAGTGTCTGAGGCTTTTGATGGACAGCTGAACCACAGTAGCTCATCACAGACACTGCTTCTAGTAGTGTGTTCTGCTCATAACCTTGCAATGAATGTGTAAGATCATTCAAAATGTACAGGCTGTCAGTTCTAGCTCTGCTTTGATGCAGACTTCTTTCTGGTGCATTTGTCTAATTAGTAGGAGCAATTACATACTCTTTGCAGTATTGTCTCTGGGTTCTGTATGCTTTGTCTTGAAATGCCAGCTCTTTTGAGAGTCATCTCAGGCAGCTGACTGAAAAAAGCCACAGTCATTTAGTTTAGAAGGAAGTCAGGAAGTTCTCTAATATAAATAAATTGTAAGTATGTGTTTTGTCACCTTTGCTATCACAATCTCAAGAGCGCAATTTAAAAAGTGCTAAATTAAGAGTAAACAAAATGAAATAATTTTTTTCTGTAGAATCCATAATTTAAGTTGTAGAATTTCTTTGTGCTTCAAGAAGGAAAGTAGGACTCACAAATGAATTGCATGTTTATCCAAATAAAAGGACTTTTAAAGTTCATAGGTATGCATGTTTTTAGGTTGGTTTTCACTATGTCTAGCAGATAGAGTTGATGCTGCAAAAGATGAAAGTGGGAGTACTTCAATGTATATAGCAAGATTAAAAAATGGTTTTAACATTCCAGTTATTGTGTAATAATCCAAACAGCAATTGTTGAAAAGGTACAATTTTGAAATAACTAACTGATGAATAGAAGAACTATTTAGTGGAACAGGAAAGAATATTTAAGACATATTTTTTTCTCCTGTAAATCTTCAAAGTGTCTATTAATAGCAGGTAAACATGTCTATGTGCTAGCTGTGTTCTTTTGTGTGATGTGTAAGTTCCATCACTTGAGGGCTTGATTTCATTATTGGTCTGAACTGAATGTTTTCTTATTTGTTGAGGACCTTCCAAAGTGGGTGAATGAAGCCACAGGGACAGGTATATATACACTTGAAAAACAGATGTTTAAAAAAAAAAAGCAAGCTGATTATAAACTTTTTCCTTTTATACTTATAGGGGAAATTAATGAAGATTTTGATATTGCTAAAGACCTGTCAGGTATGAACTTTTATAGTCTGTAAAACCTTTTTTCTTCCATTTATATTTATTAATGTAATTAAAAAACAAAGGAAAAACACAGCAGATAATAGAATCATGGAGCAGTTTGGGTTAGGAGGGATATTAAAGATCATCTAGTTCAATCATCCTGCCATATATAGGGACATCTTTTTCTTAGTGTTCTCAAAGCTCTGTCTAGCCTGACTTCAAGCAGTTCTAGGGATGGAACACTACTGCTCTGGGAAACCTGTTTCAGTGCCTAACCACACTCATCATAAAGTTTCTTTCCAGTCTCTATCTCCTCTCTTTCATTTTAAAATCCATTGTCCCGTTTCTACAGACATGAGTAAAAAAAGTCTCTATCAGTTTTTCAAGATCTCTTATTGAAAGGCTGCAATAAGGTCTCACTTGGAGTCTTCTTTTGTCCAGGCTGAACAATCCCAGTCTGTCAGCCTGCCTTCCTAGGAGAGGTGCTCTAGCCCTCTGATCACCTTCAGGGACCTCATCTGAATCTGTTCTGACAGGTTCATGTCTGTCTTGTTCTAAAAACTCTGCAGCTGGATGCAGCACTCCGTGAGGACTCTGATGAGAGGCTTCTCTTTAGATGCAGCCACGAATGCAGTTGGCCTTCTGGGCTGGGAGTGCACACTTTCGGCCCATGTCCAGTGTTTTATCCACCACAATATCCACATCATGCTCCACAGGGATGTTCTCAATCCCTTCTTCCACAATGTTTGTTGCTATTGGAGGTTTCCCTGACCCTGGTGCAGGACCTTGTATTTGGCCTTGTTGAACTTCATGACGTTCTTATGAAGTGCTTATTCCATTGCTCAAACTGGAGTTCTGTGGTAATTCCACATTGCTACTCAGAAAGGGTACATTGTAAATTTTTGTTTGCTGTATTGTTCTTGAAGAATTTTAAATGAGTAATGTATTAAATGTAATTTAAAAATCTGCTTGAAGTTAAAAATTCTGTTAAAGAAGTTTTTCTCAAACATGATGTTGACTAAGTCAGCTAGAACAGTGATCTAAGCAGTTTAGCCTAAGCACTGTGTGGTAGGATTTGATGCTATATTTATTTAGGTTTTCTATTTGAAAAATGCATTTTTGTATGAATAAAAGTGATAACATACATTGTTTCACTCAAACAACAATTGTAGCTAAAATCATTTCGGTGTGTGCAGTAGAAGTCCAACTTTTGGTAACTAAACCTTTGGATGTGAAATGCATTTAATACCCTTTTTCTTACTCTTCTGTTAACCAAACTTGTTAGTTTATAATTTAAGTTTTCCTTTTTGTTTTTGATACTAATTCAGTTGTGTGGCTGCTGAAAATAAAAACAAAATTATGAATGTAATGTGAATAATTTTTAATACTTCTTTTCTGTCTAGAAGTAGAAAGTAAGCAAACAGAAGATGATGTGGTCATTGAACCAGAGGAATCAGGTTTGTATATTGTGTTTTCCACGCATTTGCTACTTTAAAAAATTAATAATTGGAAATGATAAATATTATGGAATAGAATTCTATGCTGCAATAAAAATACATTCATGATTTTTTCTGCAGCTGTTTTCTTTCAAGGACAAATATATCTATGTTTTTGGGCTTCTTAATGACATATTTAATGTCTTAGAAAGCAGTCTTCAGTTTTAAAAGTTGAGAGTGCTCCCAGTTCAGAAAAACTTAGATTGATAAAAATGACTGCATTTGGTTATATGATGGAACTGAAAATTTCTTTTCCATGATCTGTTTCCCACCAGTCAGTCAGAAGTGCATACTCAGGAAAGAGGGTATGTTAAGGAATGAAGTGGAATGTCCCCTATGCTTTGAGCTCTTTATGGGCGCTTCCCAAATCAGAGAATGTATTTCCCTTCTTCAATTCTTCCTATTAGCTATTGTGAAGTTTCTTTCTGGTGAGCCTGACTCCTTCCAAGCATGTGTACAGGCTTCAGTCTATTAGCAGTAGTAGCACTAGGTGATGTGTGACATGTCTAATTTAAACACATATATAGAAATAAAAGTAATTGAATTTTGAAGTCAAGTATTTCACAGTTACAGCTGGAAACATAATAGGTATATATAGATGTTTTCTAAGCCCATGTTGTAGTAGCATGTGGAACTGGGATGTGTGCTTTGCATAGTGTAGTTGGAGAAGTTTGAAGTATCATTTCTGAAACTGTGTGATCCTACAATATACTCACTGGCCTACTTAAGTATGGATCTTTCTCTTGGAAAGATTCAGCTGAGGAAGTTTGCATCCCACTTCTGAAAAAGTAGTATTACAGAGCAATCTTAATATGTCACTGTTTGGAATGTAAGTGGGGAAAAAAAACCAAACACTTTTTGTAATTTTCTGGGCAGTAGTCCAATTTGAATTATATTTATATTTTTTATTTACAGAAAAACCTGTTAAAGCTGAAGATTATTCAAATGATGTTCAAGTAGGTAAGTCAATCCTGGGTGCTTGTTTTTTTTTTCCTTAAAATGAAGCTATAGCTACACTGAAATGAGTAGTCAAATTACTTTGTGAAGGGATATCATTATTGTCAAAGTTGCTTCTTGGTTTAGAAGCAATATTTTTTCTGTTGTACTTAATAAATGCCAATGGTAGTTACTGGGTTATATGAAAACATTACTAATAAACTGAATGGTTTTAATTCAAAACTTATTTTTTAATGATTTCAGATAGAGCTGAATACCTTTGAAAGGGAAATACGAATATTTCAGGTTTCAATATGTGTGTACTTCCTCTCCAGAGCAAATGTCATGGACAATGATAGTGTTACTTCTCTGTGTGTCAGTCGTATCTATTGGAATCAGACTGTGGCAGATTCTTTGGGCACTGATCTGAAAACAGGGACTGTTTTGTCATGCCATCACATTTTTCTTGGCATAACTGTTTTTAAGAACAAGAGCACTTGCAGTTCTTCCATCTGTTGCCTGACAGTAGTAGACATGAATTTTACCAAAACCATTTTTAGCATAGTTAAGTGGCTTCTAAATTAAAGAACTGCATATTGTTACATTTCTTGGAGTTAAGTATTAGAAGTTGCTAGTTTGTTTGTTATACCAAACTAATTGCGTGGAGTGGATCACAGAGTTATATCTCAGGGCAGCACATCAGAGAAGCTGCAATTTAAGACCTCTAACAGCTGTGTTTTTGTTTTGTGCTGATTAGCCTGACCCCCTTTCTGGGTTAGTTGATCTTTGTACTATGCAGAAGCTCTTGCAAGATGTAATGCCCAGAGAGCTCTGGGCTGTTGGTTTGTTATGTTTTCCTTACGGTATTTACATTTGGTTCTTAGTCATGCCAAAAGTAGCCAGAGAAATGAAGAAAACACAGGAGGCCTTTTGTGGTTGTCCAGGACAGATTGGAGGCATGGTGTAGCTCATGTTTGAGTTTGTATGCGGAACTTTAGCTGAGGAGGTTTGAAATGCTCATTTTGGTGCATAACTGTGTTGTCTGTGGGGTCTTTCCACCCTGTTTATCACAACAGCCATGTGGTGTGTTGAAAAGTTTGAAGCCTTACCTATTAACTAATAGATGCATTATCTGAAAGTGTTTTGTTGCATAATGAATATGAAATATTCTTAACCAAAGCTTATAATCAGTGTAGGAACAAACAGTAGTTGTCTTTGACAACATGGGCAAGAAGTTCAGCAAAGGTAGTCTTCACTCTGTTATGCATTAAGTTGGAATGGGAGAAGAGGAAAAGATATTTCCTCTCAGAAAAGGTTACTGTTTAAAGTTAAAATAACAAAAAGGCCCTTACAGAGCTATTACAAAATTTCAAGAGTAGATAATTCCACTACACAATGTCAGTTGAGGATAATGAGATGAATTTTTGACTTGCAGATGCTATTTTAAAATTAAATTCAGAATAGAAGTGCCAACTTGGAATCTTGGGGTATTGGACCATATTTCTATCAGTTTTTGCATTGCAGTTTATGGCTAAATCTTGCAGCTGTAAATTATTTTTTCTACCTTCACCAAAGAAAAAAAAAGAAAAATCTTAGGTGTTTTATATAGCAGTGATGGATTGATGGATTTCAAAATATGCCATTTTGAATCATAGCATCTTTTAGATTGGAAAAGACCCTTAGAGTCAAGTCCAGCTATAGTACTAACACTGGCAAGTCCACCAGTAAACCATGTCCCCAAGTGTTGTATCTACACATCTTTCAAATACCTCCAGGCTGGGGACTCCACCTCTTCCTTGGGTAGCCTGTTCCAATGCTTGACCACCCTTTTGGGGAAGAAATTTTTCCTCACACCCAATCTAAACCTCTCTTGGTACAACTCAGTGCTGCTTTCTCAAACTACTTGGCAGAAGAGACTGACCCTCACCTGGCCACACCAGCAGCTCAGTGTCCTTCTTGCAGTGAGGGGCCCAAAACTGAACACAGGATTCGAGCCACCAGTGCCAGGTGGATTTTTTGCAGATAATTGCAGATGTATTTGCAAATAAGACGGTGTAATTGAATCTAGTTATCCACTCTTGTTATATTGTGATACTAAGTTGCTATTTTCAAACAGTGCTAGAATGAGAACTATCTTGTTCTACTTTGAAATTGTATGTATTTCTGAATAAATCTTTTAGATTTATTCTTTTTTTACCTGTAGTTGTTTTCAAAATAAGTGCAACACACCATTTAAATCACAAAATTACCTTGACATCTATCCTGGCTTAGCTTTTGGAAACACATAATAGCAGCAGCACTAGAAGGAATGAATTATTTTCTTCTTCCCTTCATAGGGAAAAAGGGAGACAAGCAATCAAAATGTGTTTTAAAGACAGTTATTAAAGTTATTAAAGACACAAGTAATTATTAGATGTTCATGATCCTTAGTTTAGGAAGTGGAAAATGAAAATAATTAGATCAGCACAAGATCTGAGCACCGCACTAACTTAAGAATCCTTATAATTTGTGTAGTTATGTGGAAACCAATCTGAAGGCAGAAGAACCAGTATTTATAACTTCTTCTAAAAATCTCACTGTTTCAGCACATGAAGTAAAATTCAAATAGCATCTTAGAAAACTGACAAAAGAAACATACAACATGAATTACTGATAATGAATAAAAAATTATTAAATTATTAATTCTTCCTGCTATTAAGTATATTTACCTGTCTTTATTTTTAATGTGAATATTGCAGTCTGAAGGCAAGATTACTCTCAAATTTTCCTCTCAGATTATGATGTTCATGTTTCCTGGTTTGTTTTTTATTTTTTTATATATTTTCTTTGTGATGGAGGGTTTTGTTGTCAGGAGTCTTTGTTATTTGTTCATGATTTTATTTCATCAGTTGTTCAAAGCTAATATTTTGCATTCTTTAGGCATAACAAACATAACTTCAGACAGTTTAAAAGAAATTCAGAAATGTCACTATGTATATCATATTCTTAGATAGTTTAAATTCATGCAACTGCATTTGAAGCATGGTGGCACCAGTTTGTATCAGGTTTGGAGCAGCTGTTTGGTTTTTATCTAAAACATAGTAACTTAGTTTTTTTGTAAAGAAAACAGAACATGGCTCAGTGATTGAATTTAGCTGTGATGAACATTCTCACATTACAAGGGAAGGCACTGGGTGTGGGATTTGAATATGCTGGAGTGCAAGTCAAAAGTTTTTTGCTGACTTCAGGTCATATCACAATAAAGTTCTTTCTAGTCAAGTGCATCTTTAGGTATCTGTAAATACTATTTTCCAGTTCTCAGAGTTTACTTCCAAAATTATTGCCAGTATTTTTCAGATATAGGATACTTTAATTGCAGTTATAATCTGCACTTTTATAAGCTAATGGACTTTATAAACTAATGGTTTGATAAACTAGCTTGAAATATTACTGATTCAGGTTTTCTGGCTAATCCTGCTTTACACTGGCACATAAATTGCAGTGGTTGTGATAGAGTGGTACTTGGACATATTTTAGAGAGGCATTGCAGGTTTAGGGAATACCGTTACTCTCTGTATTTGGATTTTGAGCCCTCTCTCTGTGTTTAGATTTAAAATAACTACAAGTTGTTCCACTCTTCCCCTTCACCTTTTATCCTTGACATTTTTATAACTCTCCATTTATTTTACCAACTGCTGAAATCCCTTATGTGTAGAGAAGTTTCCACTTAGACCCTTCACCCTTCCTTATTCCCTGGCTCCTCTTTTCTGGTTGTCTTTGACTTCAATATATAAAACCCAAAATCAAACCAACATAAAAAACCAAAACCTAAATGTTTAAGTGGATTTGTGGCATGGCCTAGATATCCTTTACAAAGTAAATAAAGTGCCATATGTTAATAAAAAATTTACTGCCTAGAAAAATATTTTGAAGTTTGTTTCCCACTTTATACAGCAACTTTGTGTAGATTTACTAAGGTAACTCTTAGAAATCAGAGCTTTTTCATATGGACTAGTCTGATACAAAGTTGCATTTTTTAACATTTAAGATTTTTTTTGTTGTTGTTTTAGAGGAAGTTGTGTTTTGGTTGGTCCTCTAATATAGATTTCCCCTTATTTTTTCAGATACTTAAAGCTTCAAAAGAAAAGTCCCTACATCAGGAGGACCAGTCCTAACCATACGCTACAAAGGGGGAGCAGATGGTTGTAATAGACCTTATGATGTAATTACCAAGCAGTTCAGGGTTTGGGGAATGAACACTAAGATGTTGTAAATGGGTTTTAGCCAACTGTCATTTTAGTAAGCATTTTTAACACTTGGATGTTTAGTTTACATTCCTGTCTGATATTTTTTTCCCTTGGTCAAATTTAGTGAATTCATTATTTTTCTTCTGTGTTTGTGACAGAGTTACAACTTAGAGCTGCATTTCATGTACTGTTTAAGCAATTGTTAATATTCTATTTATAACATAGCAGCAAGTACGTTTTTTTTCAGATTTTAATATATATCTTTTGTTGTGGATTCATACAGTATGTACAGAGCAGTTTGGTCAAATGAAACATACGATGTTATGAATTTCAAAATGTTTCATAACTGCTGATATAGCATACAGCCTAATTGCATTTTATTAAAAAATACTAATCAGGCACACACTATGCTGTGAAGTTTGACTTACTGACTTATATGTCTTTGCACTGATGTTATGTCAACAGTTAACTACATGAATTTCAGGTGATTTTTAAATACCCTAACAAGGAATAAAATGTGTGTTTAATTCACACTAGTGAAAGGCCAAATTACAATATTATAGTTTTCAAAAACTCTTTAGGTCTGAATTAGCACTTATTATTTATGCTCATCTGATTTTTCAAATGTCTAGAGACTAGATGCTAGCCTGACAGGGAGTCAGTGGAGATTGCAACTAGACTGGCTGGAATCAGGTTTAATTCAGTAATATTATTCCATTTTGGTTTGCCTACCAATATAATGATCTCAGAGCTGGCTTTAATAAGCTTTATATTCAGTAAACTATTTTAAAAGTAAAATTTGTATGAACACTTGATTTGCAAATTTTATTTTAAAAAAATGCTTTGGAAATTCAACCTTAAGAAAAATACAATGTCAAAATTTAAGACCTACAGTTATGAATGCTCTTAAAAATGGTACATCTGAAATTTAGGTACTGTGAGTGATTTAGAATTTTAATATAACAGGTGTGCTTTCTTACCTGTTCTGTGCTGCTGTTCCACAATTATGAAGACATATTTTATTCTTTAATATTTTGCATGTGTTCCTTTTTGGCTCAGGAATAATTGCTGTGATTTGAGGAATTTGCCAAGCCTGTTGTAAGAGCTTAGGAGAAATAAAGATAAATTTATAAAAAGAAAAATCAATTTGGTAACCCTAACAGTTGGTTGCCTTTTGGTTTACAGAGAGACTTTCAATTTCTGTAAAACTGTTTTAAGGTCAGGGTTTTAGATGCTTATATTTGTAGTGAAAGGGGCATCATATATGCTTGCCCTTTTTTGGGTTTGGGATGTCAATAAGACTCCATGTGAGTATTACATCTGATCGACAAATACAGATGTCCCAAAGTGATTTCTTTAGATTTTTCAGGAAAGCAATAATACTCTTAGACTGTGATGTGTTTTGGGATGGGATATTCTAGTAAAATTACTTGTGATTGTGAATTGCAGAGCAATAATTTTTACAAAGCCATATTTTGTGAGGAATCATGGGAATTATTTTAGAATGGTGAATGGAGGACTTTTTATATAACAGTGGCAGCCTATTTGTAGAATTCTGGGACTGTGAGAGTATATTATGCTGTGATTGAATTTTAAGTATTTTGTAACTGGGTATGTGATTTTACGTGCATCATGTTTACAAAAATATGCCAAGCTGAGCAAGGTCAAGTGGACTATTAAAAATATGTATATTTAATCCATTTTAATGTTTGGCTGCAATAAAACACAGAAGAATATCTTTGTCTTTCTAGTGTCATTATTTATTCCCAAATGTATTAGATATTAGCTGTAGGGATAAATATTTGACTTGGCCACTAATTAATATTATTTTTTTAATTGTGAATTTGAGTATTAGAAATATATTTGAAAGTATTGTTTACAAGAAGGAAGCAGCAAGTAAAATAATTTTATCTCTGGCTGCTGTTACGTGAAGAAAATGGGCAGTACGCTAAGGTCTGTGTCTTGTATAATTGTGTTGTGATTGTCCTTTTGGAGTATTAAGATTCTGCAACCAGTTAGGCCAGAATTTTTTTTCAAGAAACATCATTTCTGTTTGTAATTTATAATGGATGAGATAGCACTTCTTAACAAACACAGATGTCTGGGGAAAGTGATATATCTGCTTTGCATGCAGAATATGGTTATGGTCCATAGTTTAAATAAGGAATCTAGTAAGGTCCATGAACTTCTGTGAAAGCAAAAATCTCCCTTGGCCTTTTCAGTTTTAAAACACCTCCATAGCTTTAATGATCTGGTATTGCTGAATAGTAGATTAAGAAAAAGATTACATTTTCTTTATATTTTCACATTGCTACATAGCCTCTTGTTATATGTCAGTGAATCTGTGAAATCTTGGATTCACTTGCTTTGTTGCTTTTTTTGGAAATCACAGGAAGAAATACCAGTAAGCAAGGAGTAGAATACTAAAGTTGTATTTTAATACTGCCAATTTACTACAACTTAAGTGACTTTCTAACATTCTCTGTAATTAAAAAGGTACCATATAATGACACTTCTTTCTAAGAAGAAAATGGCTAAGATCTGATATAGGAAAGATACTGAAAAATGTAATGATTTTACTGAACATCATTTGTAATTTTATGTGTTTTTAGAAATTACATATCTGTAAATAAGTTGTATTGTGCATTTATAGTGTTGACTGAGATTCATGTAAAGTCTACAAGGTCTGAAACACATTTTTAATTGTGAGTTGTGTCATTCTCATATGCCATCAAATATTTAGTTGTATTGTAATATGAAAAATAAATTTATTCTTCCTGGTAGAAACCTTCTTGAGAATCCCTGGTGCATTCATTATATAGTGATAGCAGTCCTAGCCTATAGAGATTAGCTAAAGCTGTTTTGTCAGTGATTTTCATCTTCAATTATTTTGCTGGAAATTAAGACATTGAGTAAAGGATGGGAGTGGTTTGAAGAACAAAGATTTGTTTGTTTGTTTGCTTGAGCTCCACTTGGTTTTGGTTGATGAAAAAGTAGTCTCAAGATTTATTAACATGTCCCTGTCTTTGAGAGAGCATATTTTTAGGCCTTAGTCAGAAATAGCATAATTAAAACCTTTTGCACCATTGAAATATGCTAGGGATCAGTGTGAAAGGAACAAAGCAATATGTGCTGAATATGATGCTGAAGTGAATTCTTAGCTAAGTGTGAATTCTTAGTTTCAGAGCTAACAAGATCAAGTTGTGATGAATTTCAAAAGCAGCTACCTAGAAGGAGAAGTGGGAGTGTTTAAAGATCACTGGAGAGGCTTTGGTGAAGTGAATGGCAACTGATTTAGTTGCCATTTAGAATGTTTAGTATACAGGCTGAAAATAGTCTGAGAGTTTGGAGAACTGATCGTAGTACATAAGTAGGTGTAGAGAGCTGTAGGTTATATGTTGCATGAGTCTCAGGAATACAGAAATGTGAAGCCAGACAATAAATGGGAGATAGGAGCAGGCTTTAGAGTGAGGAGGTCATACATTGTTCTTCCTGTGATGGCAAAGAAGTTGCAGAAGTAACATGAACGTCTGAGATGTGTGGAGGCAGGTTATCCAGTGACCTAGAATGAAGTAGAGAGGAGAGGCCAGGTGAGAATCTCAAGTGTTGCTGATAAAAGAGAGGATACATGGAAAATGGGGGCTGACTAGCATGATGTATTATGGTAATGGGAGGTGGTAATAATAGAAATATGAGTATATAAACTGGTTTGTGTGAAAACTGTAAAACTAAACTATTATTTAATCTGGGACTGAATCATTGCTCCTTTTAATGGAGTGTTTTGGATGACATACGACCATTTTATTGATTGTGTGGTATGTGCAAAAAAAATACAGAAGCCAGGGTTTTAGAAAATACTGCACAATGCTTTTATTAATATACTGCTACAGTAATAATTGTCCCTAGTATGTAATTGACTCTATAGATCTTTCGTCATTTCGTACAATTTAATTCACAGTCTAGATCTCATGATGTAATTGAAGAGGTGAATGACTTTCAGTGTGATCATATTTATTTAATTCACCATATAATCAAGTTAATGCTCATTCTGCCTTGTACTGAATATAAATTAGAGTTATAGTGTCCATACATTCCGGAATAGCAGTTGTCAGCCAGTAGTAAAGGGTGAAATTAGAGTGTTAAAAAATTTGGTTTCATCTGTGTGCATATTCCAGTTTCTTCATGAAAGACTGCAGTATTTTCCTGCATTTTTAAATGTCATAGTCACACTATAATGCTTCTGAGCAGTCAGTTTAAAAAACAGTGAAGACTGAGTATTCAGACAATCTCTAAATTACTTGGAAATTAAAGTAAATGGATTTTTATATATAAGAATACCTCAAAATTAAACAGTACATGTTAAGGAGAACAGTGACTAGCTAAAAAGGCAACAGACCTCTCTGTTTAGTGTTCTCTAAGTTTCTTAGGATAAAATATTGGAAGCTTATTTGGAAAAAAATTGAATTGGAAACAGAATACCAATGTTAGAATTGTGAGGCAAGATGCTTTATATGTTATAGAGTAGGGCAGGATCAAAAAGTGTTTAGGGGTGGGAAAAAGATCTTTATGTATCTGCCACCTTCATGAAATCCACATGAATTATTTTTGTCCAGGATTTACTTTGCCTTTGCTACAGATCATCTTAATGCTTACTTAATATCTACCTCTGCAGTCAGATGTTTGCAAAACACCTGTTACGTTATTTTAAAAACTGAAAAAAGACAAAAGCTTCCAGTTGCCCAAGTCACTTCTAAAAATGAGACTTAAGTTCTCAATTGATTTTGTTTTTCACATTTTAACCAAATGTATGCATTAAGCTAGTGTTTCCAATAGATTTTAATTAGTGAACAGATTTTCTTTCTTGCAAAGTAGCTTGCATAATTATACATTTTATATTTATATATTTTTATATTTATATAAAATTATACATTTTAAGTGTATATCAACAAAATATATTAATATCTAGAGGAGAAATTCTGTGAAATGTTTTGTGATGGAAGCAATATTGTAATATTTGAATCATCTGCATGGAAAGAGACCTTTTAGGTAACTATATAGTTCAGAAAATAATCTGTAATTATTTTAAAAAATAAAAATTAAACAGAAAGTCCAGTTGACTCACTTATGTTTTGAATATAAATTGTAATTTTCTTGTATCTCTTACTGTAAAATGTTAACATAATAAATTTGATTCAATAAAATTATATTTTTAATGTTTTAGGGAAAAGTGAAAAAGAAACTGAACAAGACAAAACAGAAAAAGGTAAGTCTGAAAGTAACATTTTGTTTGGAAATTCAAAACCATGCTTTCTGGGAAGATTGATTTACATCAAATTAAAGTGTAATGAAGCTTCACTTCTGTACATTTTATGTAGATAAACTGCAGTTGAATAAACATCCAGAGAGCATGTACTTTTACAGATAAACACTTGGTTGTTTCCAAGGCTGGCATACATCGATGTACACCAATCAATCTTACCTGGTCACAGAATGGAATGATTGAATAATTGAATTGTAATGATTTGGATTAGAAAAGACCTTTAAGGTCATCAAGTCCAACTTGTAACATAGCATTGAGCCATGTCCCTAAGTCACACATCTTTTAAATACCACCAAGACAGCCTGGCAACCCTTTCAGTGAAAAAATTTTTCCTAATGTCCAGTCAAAACCTTTCCAGGAGCAGCTTGAGGCCATGGCCTCTCGTTCTGTCCCCTGTTACCTGGGGAAAGAGACCAACCCACACCTCACTACAACCTCCTTTCAGGGCACCGTAGAGAGCAATAACGTCCCTCCTAAGCCTCCTTTTCTCCAGGCTAAACACCCCCGAACACTCCCAGCTGCCTCATCAGATTTGTGCTCCAGACCCTTCCCCAGCTCTGTTGCCCTTCTTATGGACACACTCCACCACCCCAATGTCTGTCTTGTAGTGGGGCACAAAACTGACCCCAGGATTTGGGTGCAGCCTCTCAAGTGCTGAGTACAGGGGACAATCACTGCCTTGCTCCTGCTGGCCACACCACTGCTGGTACTTGCAGGATGCCACCTGGGCACAGGGTGACTCTTGTTTCAGCCAGCTGTTGACCCAGCACCCCTGGCTGCTTTTCCCAAAGGCAGCTTTCCAGCCATTCTGCCCCAAGCCTGTAGCATTGCACTGAGTCATGGGATGGTTGTGACAACTGCTATTTAGGACTAAAATGTTCAATGTCATACTCCTAGTTTAGTATTCTGGAGGTTGGAGTTCCACCAAGTTCCTTCTACATCTGAGGGCAAGAGGCAATGTGGGCTACTTGGCCCCTGGAACTGGGTTCAGCACTGCCAGCTGTGCTAAGTGTGAAGAGACAGGTGACATGCAAATCAGTCCTTGTCAACAGCATGATTGTCTAGTCTGTCTTATGTTAGGTAGGTAGGTGCAGAGACAGAGTAGAGGAAAAAGAGGTGAGATTTTGCTGAAGAGCACTGTGAATCTGCTCTCCCTGCAATACTTGTTCTGGCCCCATGTGTTCCCTGTCACTGCACAAAGTTTGCAAAACCTCCTTCACTGGGGTCATGGCTGGTTGCTGACAGTACCCAGAAACCTCAGGGCCTGTGCCAAGGGATTCACTAGCTCTACTCCTTTTTCATTCTGTTTCCATTTTCTGTCTGGCTGTTATTTTATATTTGAATACTTAGGAGTGCTGCTTTTCCAATATTTTGGTATGGTTTATTTGGTTTTGTTTTGTATATTGGTATTTTAAATATAAGTTTCTAGGACTGGCAAACTTCAAACATTTTATTTAAGTACTAAATATGTCACATGTAAGCATTACATATAAAAAGGAAAAAAAAAAGACAAAACATCTTGGAAAGCTTGGCAATTATGCCTACATTTCCACTTATTGGCAGGGTGAATCTTACTGCAATGGATTTACATATTTGATAGTAGGAAAAAACTCACCATTATGTGCTACTTTTACTGACCTGTTAGAACAGTATAATGAAATGACATACAAGAGCCATCTAGTATGGATAAAAAGCAGTCAGAGAGAAAAATGCCACCTTGTGTAAGAAACTTACTATTATGCAACGTTACTCATCAAAACCTGTACAAGAACTTTTGGCCATGAAAGTATGACAAAGTGGAGCTACTTTCCTTTCTTGTGCTTTGTGGTTTTGTTTTCTTCTAAGCAGCAATTAAATAAATGTCACTGCAGATTACAGGATTTCTCTAAGGTAGAAAAAGGGATAGTTTTGTTTTCCAGGTTAAATTGATAGGATTTTTCATTCCACCAGGAAAAACAACTCTGCAGCTTTTTAAATTAACTTTCTTTGTAGCTACACTGCTTGTGTGATTTTCATACAAGTAGAATTTTGTTGAACTTTTTTTCATAGTTTGAACTGTTTCAAGTTTCCACTTTCAATAAAAGTGGCTAGCTAAAGATGTCCTAGTCACAGGAAATGGTATAAAGTACTATTGATTTGGTTTATTTTAAATTACCATAATAGCATGCAGCAATAAATTGATGAGAGTTGAATTATAAAATATACTACACTGGTATATGTAGGAAACTTGGAAACTTAAGGAGCTGGGAGTTTGAAACTCCATGTTTGGTTTGGGTTTAGGGTTTGCTTCTGATTCTGAGAGAACATTCTGATGTGGAAGTCTGCATTTGTTTTGTGGTACTTGGACATACAAGCTCCAAAGAGCCTTCTGTGCAGAAAGTATTTAGAACTTTGAGCAGCTCTTACAACATGATTATTTTTCACTGTGGCAGCCTTCATAGTGCTAGGTTAGCAAGGTGTCCTAATAATTATGTAAATTTCAGTATTCAACAGTATTTCATCAAGTTTATCAAGTCTTACTGAAAATTCTTTGATATTAACAAAATCCCCCTCGGGAAAGTCCTCTAAAGAAACAAAAATGAAAATAAACTTGTTTCTAACATAGAGTTGCTTCAAGGTTTCTCTCTTATATTTGAGTTGTATTCTTCATCTTCACCACAAGAATGTCATCAGACTTTATATTTAAACAAGTAGTTGAAATGGGATGGGTATTCCAGGTGAATCTGAGTAATAATTCTTAAAAGGGTTTCACAGATAGTGCAATGCAGGACATACATGCCACATCCATAAGGTTTCTTTCCATCTGAGTTGGTTTTAGTTGTTTTTCATCACATAGACAGAAAAAAATTTTAAGAAAGAAGCCTAGTTTTTCTACTTCTATTGGACATATATTAAATATTCATTTACATTGGTGAACAGATACAAAAACTGAAGAAATAATTCTCACCCATGAACATGTTTGTTTCATACAGTGAACTTCAGCATAGGTGTTATAATAAGAAGTAATTCTTTTCCCTTTTCAAAACTGATAAAGCTTGACTTTAAAGTAAAAATGAGTGCTGTTTGGCTCGAAAACTCAGTTGCATTGTATTAGGGAGAGAAGTACACATAAGGCAGGCTTATGTCAATGTCATTCCACAAGTGGCCCTGCCACCTGGTATCATTTTGATAATAGGTCAGCATTCACCACTATTTACTCTAGGTATTTACCATTGAAGATATGTAGGGTTCCACTGTGATATTAGTAGACATCTAATCTGAGGAAGGTAAAGTGCTGTTCTTCTGACTAAATGCAGGGATTTGGTGCAGAGTAAGTTCAGTTATCCCCTAAATTCCATTGGGAACCTTCACCAGAGCTCTGTTGTCTGGAGAAAGAGCTTGCATGGTTAGCTCACCTCCAGTGTTATCTCCTCAAGTTAGGTGGACTGAGTTCCACCCTTGCAAGCTCTACTTATAGGAGTACACATAGTACCTATTGATTTGTAAAATTGATACAGGCTACAATTAAATTTCTAGACTGTGTGTGAGAATTTTCTGTGTTCTATGTACAGAATGATCAACACAGAAGTGTAGTTGTCAAAGTCCAAAACTGCTATATAATGCCATTCTGAACTAAATATATAGGACATTAGAATATTACAGTGTATTTTTGAATAGAAAGTCAATGCAGAAATTTCTTTCTGGTTTTGTCAAAGGATTGCTTGAGTCCAGCCTCTGAGTGAAGCCGAAAGTCTTAATGGTGAAGGAGGTGAATACATGAAAAACCAAAATTATTCTGCTGTTATTCCTTATGATCAACATCTAACCAACCAACCAACAATAATTTCATATGAAAAGCCCTGTAGAATACTTTTTACTGCAAGGGAAATTGTTCTGGAATAACTGCAGCTAAAGATTTATTATAGTCATTAGAGTCCAGCTTTATTAGTCCCTAAAATGCCTCAGTTTTTATTGTCTGATTACTTCCCCAGATAAGTTGATTATAGTTCTGTATCTCACCTAATGAGCTTCCCAAACAACAGGACAATGTCAGTTTTTCATCATCACATTCTCATTCAAGTGCCCACTGAGAGGCAGCACAATTTCCAAAACTAATTTGGGTAATGATATGGGGCTAGTATAATGAGGGAGGACAATTACTTGAGCAAATTTTGAATTCCAAGTCTACTAATATATATGTATGTTCTTCAGAACATAATTGAAACTTTGAACAGGGAAGATTGGTGGTGGATGGCAAAGGGAATTAGTAAAACAAGAGGTTGTGAAATTATTTGGAAAACCACTACAGACCATGATATCAGTATCTACTTGTCATTGTCCCACACTCAGAAGTTGCCGTTCACAAGTTGCCAAGAGCATTATTATTGAATTTGTATCACAGCAGGGATGAGGAGGGTTTTTATAAAACAAAGCCTATGATGCTCCCCTGGAAATTGCTTCCTTAGTTCTTCAAAGTTTAAGACAGAGAACTGACAGGAGGAGCCTTTGCTGCAAGTGACTTACAAGACTGCATCACATGAAGGGGTTTTTATTTCAGATTAGCTTTAGAGATGGCATAACATAAGGAGACATAACTATATAGTTATAGCCTCTACTATTAAGTAGGACCCAAATCATAAAATTATAGAACAGTTTGGGTTGGAAAGGACCTTGAAAGGCCATTTTGTCCAACCCCTGCTCTGAGGTAATTTAATTTTCTGCCAAGTGGTAAGCACAACATACAGTCAGTGGAGCAGGATTGTTCCAGTGTACTTTTCAAATCAGAAACTGAGGGCCATGTGTCCTCAAGGTGGCTGTAAAGACCAGCCTTTATCTTGAATCACTTATACCTTATAAAGTAATTAACTTTATAGTTAACTTAACTAGTTAGGGTTCCTAACTCCTCTCTGTTTTGCATGTGAGGAATAGCAGCTGTAAGATCAAGGAAGGCACCAGGAATGCTC